GAGCTGAGCTTTAGCCAGAGCTGACTGCTGGGACACACACAGGCCCATAGCACTGCACACCACACCAGGGTCATCCTGCGAGATGAAGGGAACACAGAAGCATTGTAAAACATGATGTAAACACAAATAGGATCTGCAGCTGAATACACTGCTTCAGTTCTTTAAAGAGGACTGTGACATGCTTTGAATGACAGATGAGGTCCTATGGGAAGGAAGAGCCTATTACACAAAGGCTGCTTTGTGGATAGCTAACTGTCCAAGCAGCACTAGTCAGACTAAGGCCCATTTCCAATTCTATGCCTTAGCCCTTCCCCTTTCGCGCGTTCACATGAAGGGGTAGGGGTATTCTCTTTTGGTTGGAGGGGTAGGGGTAGGGGAAGGGCCAGATAGCCCTTCAAACGAAGATTTTTCGGGACCACACTTCAAACGAAGGGGTATGAATTATCTCAGCGTAAACCGGCTTCAGCGGCAACATGGCTGCCCGAGCGAACAAAAAGACACATAAACGTAAGCATTTTTGGCATTAATAAAGATTTTAATGAAAAGTACTCATTTGTTTTATGTTACATTCAATCGTGAGTTCATATTTACGGTCATGTTACTCAAAGAAATGTTTGCAAAAAATCGCTTAGAGAGAGAGCGAGAGAGAGAGCGAGAGAGAGAGCGAGAGAGAGAGGAAAGTCCCTAAACATTGAGAGCCAGTTAATATTGTTTCCACCAAGTACAATGCTTATTTTCTTTAAAATTCCCCATGAAATGAACAGTTAAACCTTTTTGAAGAATTATTCCTAATTTGTCGCCAATATCATCTGACATATACGCAAGGAACAAACACTACAAGCTTGATCAGTCTTATGATCCAGTGTCTGTTTCCACCAGCTCAGCATCAGCCTCCGCAGCTGATTGTACAAAAGACAAGTCGACACAAAACCCAGCTGACTGACACTGAATTTTACTGTAATGAATTATGACAAAGTAATACTGATTTTTCCACCAATGAGTCAACATCACACGATTCATAACTAAACTGTGCCATAACTAAACTTGAAAACAGCCCTGAAGGCCTAAACTCTTAACACAAAAGCACCCAGGGTTTCACTTCTGCTTTGCCACTCGATAGCAATCCATATTAAGAGTCAAAACCAAAGCAGAAACCACCTAAATAAAAGCATAAAGTAGGAAACAAAGTGCAGATACTAAGGATTTTTGGAAAGCTCTGTGCAATAATCCTGTGGTCCAGAACTAGCTGTAAATCTGGGTCATTTACTTTATGGTTTGTAGGATCAAAACGGTCTCATAACTAAAACACTTACATTTCACTTCTGCCAAATAACAATCAAGAACAATAACAATCTTCAATAACAATCATTGTTATATAGAAAACAGGCAACTCAACATGGGAATGGGTAGTTGACAACATGCAAAGTAATGACAGCAACTACTCTAAACAACATTTTTCTCATTCTCTTGTAACGGTGTATGATGTTTGAGCTCATTAACTGAGAATGACTGTTTTTAAATTCCACTGGATCTTTTACGTGAACTGCAATAAGCTAAAAAGTACAAAACGGACATGATTCAGTTAACAAAAACACTTGATGTTACATTAAAAGTTCTTGTCAGTGTGATCATAGACTACCTAAAATGCCGAAGAGATTCCAGTAGTATAAGTCCAGAGCAAACAAAAAAAAAATAACATACTTGAAATACCTCTAACAATCACGGCACTAAACTTTATTATAGAGTCATGAACAGGGTCTGATCGGCCAATAGGCCAAAACTAGGACACTTTCCAGCTTTCTCTTGTGCAATTACTGAAAACAAAAAAAAACTGCATGTCAATGAGAAGTGAGACATTCTGTGGTTTTAATAAACCATTTTTCACAATCCAGAGGCTCTGAGCCTGACCTCACACATAGAGCACAGTATGAAAGACCACCTCTATGCTTTCATGAGCAAAACCTTCTGCAAAAATAACAATCCTTATGACAAAAAGATGAAGTGAAATTGTGACTGTAATGGCAAATACTAAAGAGGAACACTGAAGAGGATGTGGAAACTAGACAAGTAGCAAAGGATCTTATCCCTGGAAGCGAAGAGACGTTATTTTGAAGGACTAAGCAACCTGGATACAAATTACGCAATTCAATTGATCAGATGCCAGACAACAAAAAAACTGCAGGAGTTAAAATACAGCCTGGGCATATCTGTATTGGGCAAACAAACTCTGAAAAACAGGTTTCAGTCACTGTGTCAACATTCAGACACCTATATCAGAGAAAGAGATAAAGTTGAAATCAGCTAAATCGATCAAGCACGAGATGAACGTTACGTTAAAAGCGATGCGTCACGATGCGGAAACGATTCGCATTCAATCCAAAATAAATTTGAGTTTAGGAAATACATTAAAACTAAAACAATCAATTTACCCATCAGATAATGATTATAATCGACTTCAGTCAGTTTAGACTGACCAGTCCAAAATATCAGCGCAACAAACACATGCATGTGTATAAACCGGCTGAAAGACTGCTCAAATAAATCATTTAAAAAAAAAAAAGTTTTAAAAACGTGACTTATTATGGGACGCTGTTGTTTAAAACACTTAACTTAGCCTGTTAGCACAGCACGTCAACATATGGCTAACGAACAAATCGGGAACAAATATTATCATCACTATGAATATAGAAGTGTATTCTGTTAAAACTAAAACTAGAATAAATACTATGTTTGGCTGTTTATTTGAAGATAACATTTCCATTTAAGCGGGCCAGTCAGTAACCTACATGACATGTTTACCAAACACTTCCTCGGCCATGAACTGCAGCTGTGGCACACTTCTCAACGAAAGCACCAACAATAATGCGGAGGACAAGAACAGTATATATTACCCGTGGAGATAAAAAGCAGCGTGAGAAGCATCATGTCTCTCTCGAAGCGCAGAGTCGTGTTGTGAATCTTGTCTGTTGGATGTTGGCGGTGTTTATACAGCAGCGCGGCGAGGCTTATGCTGAGCTCACTGTCAGCCAATGCGCATGCGCCAGACTGAGGCTCACTGTTGCCAACTCATTTTCAGGGGAAGTTGCTAAAGGAAGGTCGATTTGTTCCTTCAAGTTGCTAAATGACGTTGTGATGTCATTGCGTGATGACGTCATTACGTAATCGCGACGCAAAATTGTATCACCGCATCAAATCTCAGTAAAAATATAGATTTTCATATGTTTATTTAGATTTGGTCGTATAATATGAATGCATAATATAATGTTAAAATATAAATAACTTTTTATATACAACATTGAATTATTGAACACTTATTCGATTACAATAAGTGTCAACACGATTACAAGTTTTTTTTTACAAGTTTTTTACATTGTATTTTGTGTTTCGGATTAAAGGGTTACAATGGATAATGTCCTGGAAAATTACTAGAAGCCTACCTTTTTTTAAATAGCTAAATTTGTTGCTAGGTGCTTTTGGAAGAAAAAGTTGCTAGGGTACTCTGAAAAGTTGCTAAATTTAGCAAAAAAAAAAAAGGCTAAATTGGCAACACTGCTGAGGCTGTTTGTGTGGGTCAAAAAACGCAATCAAGCTCTTATCGTTTGGACTTTGTCATTTTTTTTGTTTGTTTGTTTTACATGTGATTTATATCTTCCTTTATATATAACTACAATAGCTATAGAGTTTGGAGTTAAAACCCCTATTATACAAATAATACAATTACATACAAAATTATACAAATGCTCGTTTTCTGTTTCAAAAACCTGAATTAGAATCATTTTTGGTGAATTCTGCCCCTCCAACTAATATTTAATTATAATTATATTTTCTATAGATTTTTTGGGTTAACAAGTCAACATAATCAATTTCATGAATTGTTTTGTTCTTTGTGCATTGTTTGTTTATGTTTAAAAGTCTAGGATTTTTAGTGCCAAATTCATGTTAACAACTAGTCCATATGGCATCATAACTCAATGCGTGTTAATAATTTAATTTCCGTTTGCATATTACCATGTTTTTTGGACATGCACTCTGGTTGTACCATGGTATTCTTAGAAGCACCTTTGAGCACCAGATACCATTATATAGAGATATAATTACTAAACTACCATTGACTATGAACATTTACTCTTTGTGTGTTTTTTACTTAATAAAATAAGTTATAATAATAATAACTAGTTGTGTGTGTGTGTGTGTGTGTGTTCTGCTCTTTCTTTGTTCCCATGTACAGAGGAATTATTATGAGGACTGTTTTGCATTACTTGAAAAAGGGAAGATAACATCTTAATAATAGAACTGGTTTACATGTGGTTCAATTCTAAATTTATATTAGGTTTTCAACAACAATAATTCTGCAGAGATTAACTTTATTCCATAATAATATATTAATGTTTCATCTATCTAAAATGATTTTGACTAGGTACAGCTTGCCCAAATAATTATAATAATACTGAAAAATCTATAAAACGGTCACATGGTTGCATTCTATGTCTAGTATGTCAAATGTAACCTGACCATTCAAATCCAAATTTATGACACATTTGTAGATGGAAGACTTTTTTTTTTTTTTTTGGACCCC